CCCCAAAACCCCAAAACCCCAAAACCCCAAAACCCCAAAACCCCAAAACCCCAAAACCCCACATCCTTAAATACCGATTGAATAAGGCTCTAGCTTAATTTCTAAAACGCTTGAAAGAAATATCAGAAGTATTATTATTTAAGAGTACACTTATAGCCTATTGTAGCGAGTTAGCTTAATTTAAGAAGGCCTGACAGTCCTTGAACAGAAAAGAATCTTTCTCAAAGATATAATCCCTTTGTAAATCAACCTCTTGATAATCTTCCAAAAATGGATGCACTGCTGAATCGTAAATCATTCACTGGCTGGATTTGAAAGTATGCTCATTTTCAGAAGTTTCCTTGGATACACGGCCTTCGCAGAGATCCATGAATAGGTTAGAAGGCTGAGGACTACCCATAGGGTCCTTCCCAGAGTCTTCAGTTGTTTCTTCTACTTCCTTTTTGTGCGCATCGGTATCAAAATTCTTCAATGAAAATTTTTCTTGTCAGAAATCCTTCCGGTCCTCCCCAAGATCGGACCTTCTAAACTTGTTGGGGTTATGGAGTTTTTTAGACGTCCTGACGAGCTCATCAACGATTTTGTTGTAGTCGAATTCGGGACATGCGAGGCTATCGAATAGAACATCAGGGCTAGCGTCTTCAATGGAGTCTCCCAAATTTCTTACTGGAAAGATTTTGCTTAGCTCAAATTCAGCATCAAAAAATCTATTAATGGAGGCTTTGTCCTCATTTTCCATCCTTTTCAAGTTTTTCTTCTTGTCAAAGCCCCATTTGTAGATTTGGTGAGTACGTAGTTTAAGGAACTTTTTGCAGTACTGGACTGTCTTCCTGGACCAGACAGGGTCCTTCTTGAACTGCTCCTCCAAGAACTCAATTTCCTCACTGGTCTTAATTCTGATCATTCTTGACTTTTGCTGTACACAAGCGCCTGCTTCGATTTTCATATTTTTCTGACCTTTATAAACTTCTGAGAGGTCACCAATTTGATGGGAAGTTGTTCTATAACTAGGGGTTAGTTCTGTGAGTCTCAAATTAGCAGGAAGCTTAGAGAATTAAGCAGAAAATAGAGGCGAATTATCCCATCTGTCAAAAAAGAAGAAGCTGATAAACTGTTACCTACCCCTGTAGGCTTGCCTACAGGGGTGAGTGAACGGTAATAAGCCTGTACTTGTGGACCTTGATGGAAGAAGAACCCTAGAGCAGCGCTTACCCATTGAAATAGCTAGTCTGTTCTACGTTATTGATGTTGTTCATGATTAATATAATTTAGCAACTTTATAGCCTTCAACCTTAAATACCTTACTGGGGTTTTGGGGTTTTGGGGTTTTGGGGTTTTGGGGTTTTGGGG